GAACTGTGATACTGTATTGCAGGCCAACGTAATCCCAGCAACTGTGTGTACACAAATCGTTGTCTTTCTAGATATGGAGTCTCCAAGCTTTTCAGTCCATGTTCCTTCCAGACACCTCAACTGCTTACCTGCTCCTCCTTAACTGACTGTTTCCCAGAATGTATTTGTGCTGATTTAAATGTAATGAACTTGCTGTTTTTTCCGATCTGCTGTTATCTTTCTCAATTGTCGCATTACCACATTTAACTGGAGCAAGCCGCCTGCATCATCATGTTTGCCATGAGGTGGTCAGCCATGTGCTGCCGCTTTGTGATCCCCAAGCACTGCACTTCCAGGTTCTGTATGCTAAAAGGCAACAGCGCACGTATATTGGTCCGTTCCACGGGACCTGCCCCCATAGGGCTCTGCGGGCACTATGTCATCCCCTACCCCATGCTCATGATATGCAATGCAATGATTGATGCATGGTGCAATGATCAATGCAATGATAACCTCAGCTATATTGCCCATGTTTTTCACTTGTTTTATCTTTTGTATTTGCTTTGTTTTATATTTGTTTATTGTTTTAGGTTCTGCAGTTTGTTTTTCAGCACGCTGAAAGCAGGGAGCTAGAATCGCTTTAGAACTAGCGTGGGAGTGAAAAATTCCGTCGCAAAAAACCTGTACGGGAATGAAAAAATCAATTCACAACAAACTGTAACTTATGATCTCCTGGCTGATGCTTCAGCAAACAACGACATCTATTTCAGGTTGGTATGGATGTGATATCAGAAACCTGACAAAACGGTTTTGTTTTTTTAACATCGTAGGCTCTTTACATGGAACAGAATACATTTAAGCATAGTAGTTTTTTGACATAGTAATTTTTTGCTTATTCCCATGAAAGTAAGCCTAACTATGCCTAGCCTGAAGAGGCCTTACTTAATCTAAGCCCGTCTAGCCTGTTTGTATTACAGCAGCAGTTGTGAGTTACTGATTCTTGCACAATGCCTATTGCCACTTGCCATGCACTTGACGAACCTAACATAACTTAGAGTAGCTCATATGTTAAGCTTCATCTCAACTCACCTATCTGTTGACAGCAACACTTGTAATAAAGACATGATAAGGCTAATTTCTAGCTGGTTTCAACTTACATTTTTATTCATTTCATTTGTGCATGCTTGTTGACGTCAGAAAAAAAAATTGATCACACAAATCAAAGCACTTAAATCACTTTTAACGAGCTATCTGGATCGCCATGGTTAACCTATGTCAAGGGCAATAATGAGTATGCTCCACAAAGCAATCCCTCTTCTCGAAAAGTAAGATAACTTTTAGATGACCATTCCAGTATTGCTGATTGGGTTTTGAGCTACAGGAAAGGCATCTACTTGGCTTGTTTATTTATATTTAATGACAAACTTTCACATGTTGGCTTCACATTTTAAATGGGATGGTCTGACTATTTGTTATATGCTAATATTTAACTCATATTATAATTGCTATGCACCTTAGAGTATCCCATTGTAAAAAATAAAGTGAATTTTTACAGTATGGTTATTCGCCAGTCAGCAAACCATCACAATTATATTCCGGTTAAAGCAGCCATCAGGCACCACTTCAAGAAATTTGGGGCAAATAGTCAACAATATGCAACAAAATAAGCATATTGCATACCTTGTGACATCATAATTTGTCTTATGACAAAACTCCATGAATTAATACAAACAATCGCTAACTCTGGTTACCAATCTTGTGTTGAAAGCAGGTAAGGTGAGCAATTACTTGGTTGACTGGAGACTTAGTGGTTTCTCAGCACCTTTTGAATGGTCTGCTGGCAGACAGTCATCCCACTCACCACCAAATATAAATGTCAGTGATGTCCACCAGCCTACGATATTAAACTTCGAAGCAAGTAAGAGGTGTGCATGATAAGCATCTCCCGAGGGCAGAATTTTGCCATCAAACACATCTGTATCAGATATGTCAGGCCTGTCCCAAAGCTCTGTATGACAGCATTACTATAGCCTCGTCAGGTACGCTGGTGATTTAGACACCCGAAAGGCTTAAATTTATCATTATTGAGCACCGCCATGAACCGAAAAACCTGTTAACCGAGGGTTTAACAAGGCAAAAATGGCGGTAAAAATAAGTTCCGTGCTGCAAATTGTCTCCTTCATTCCCTGTGAATTGTTCTCTCTTGGGTGCATATCAAAGATGATTGGGCGACTTGCAAATTAGTCCAACTTATGTATGAAATACGTACAAGTTTTCAGTTGGAGTATCTTGCAGAGAAATTGGGCAACATTTTAAGCAACGGATGGTACCTTTAAAGGCAATAGAAAAGCAAGGAAGAAAAAAGTTGTAGCACGCTCGTATGATACCGTGAAAAAAGTAGTTAAATAAATATATATAAACTGATACTTCTCTGGCAAAATTTGTAATCAGCTGGATTGACTTAAAATCTGTTAACAGAAGTGCTTAAATGGTGCTATCCATCTTGCAACTTAAATCTAGAAGGCATTTCTTGAATTCTTCACTCCAGCATTTTGGGAGTCATGCATGTTAGTGGTCAAGTTTTCTCGGGAAAAAAGAATACGTGAAGTAAAATTCTCTAACAGTCCTTGCTGTTGTTTACACCGGGCTCTGCTTTCGTTGTGTGGTCTTGAGACCAAAAACTACGGGATGCGTGAAAACCTGTCATTTGGCACACAGTTGCCGATCGCTGACCATTTGGTAAACAAACCAAACGTAATGCGTGCCAGCGGCTGAAGTCACTGGGGTCGGGCTTAGAGGTACCTGGCGCCCTTGCTCTGTGCATATATAGATATGATCCAGATGTAGGTGAGGCAGGACATAGCCATAGGTGTCCAGGTTCTGTGGAGCCTCGTTTAGGCTTGGTGGTTTCAAGTGAGCTCTGTTTTGGACGACATCTGAAACCCTCAGAAAGGGAAATAGGGGTTTGGCATCTGCGATTAGACAATGTCAGGCAGGCGTCAGGAATTCACATGAAATACGGGGAAAAGGAGTGAAACATTCCTCCCCATAGGGTGTTGCTTTACACCCAAAGTTGGCAATTCTCGACCACTGGATAAAAGCATGCTTAATTTTGACGTGTTTCTTTTGTATGGTCTGTTGAAGTGGCGCTGAGTGGGGCTGAGGTGACCGTTGGCTCGGGAAGGGGTGATGCTCTTTGGGGAAAGGAGAAGCTCCTGTCCTCGATGAGGTGTGTGTTAGATGGGAGAAGTTGCCGCCGATGCTCCTTGAGGTCGCGGCAGACGGGGGCCTTGTCCGAAAAAAAAACACGAGAATCGTGGGCGGATCCCCGAACCCTGCCAGCACATCAGTGAGTGCGCCGCGATGATAGCAAGCAGCCAGTAGCCGCACTGTTTGGCGATGCCTGTGGGTATTATGAGCAGCTGCTATCTCCTTGCTGGGTGCATCCATGAAGAGAAATGACCCGTCGATGGCTGCAACTACATTCGGGGAGCCGGTGCACGCTGCAAAGCCTGCGATGGTTTCATGTGGCCGACCTCCCATTGGCCACGCGATGACGTCACCGCACGCGGTATCAATACACTTGTAAAGTGCTGTCAGATACTAGTGTGACCCTGATTTTGAAGTTCCAAACTTGTTGCCAGCGGAGTGTTTGGGGTACTGGCTCGGCACGATGTTGCAACGCAGGCATCACATCTGGCAACGGACGCTTCTGGTTGCCTCGGCGCTGGACATGATTGGCATAATAAGGAGTCAACTTTGCATGGAGATTTTGAGAAAAAAACTTGCGTGAGATACGAAACTGCTATTTGAAGTCTACGTCATCATGTCCTGGAACCACGTCATGTACATCATTTTCTGTTTTGTTGGCACGATGTTGGCGCTTTGGCAGGGCCAGAACCGCTACGTCGGCGAGTGCACCACTGTGTTAGTCACTTTACGGATGCTGTAACATAACTAGTTTGTCTGGACAGTATGATTCTGGGAAAGTTTATCTATGCCTTGAATGCTTTGGAATGTAGATATACTGCATAACCTGACGTCACATGTTTCCATGGATATTGTTCTTCTGTGTGTCTATGTGTGGAACTCTCCTTCATGCGACTTGTCACAACATGAGATTTCTCCCTGCACACGTGCTCCGAGCAGAGCTCTATCCCTGCTTGCAACCACACGTGCAAACTCTTCCATGCGTAACACAATATATGGACGACCTCAACATACATGCACGATGATCTCAGCTGCCATAAGGCGTTCAGTTACCAGTGCATGGTGAACTTCGTGTTCGTGGGATCATCGATTGCATGTGGTTACGCTAGGGACGCTTGAAATAATGTAACGTCTTTCTGAGTCGAGGGCGGTGATCTGCCTTTCTCTGCTTAAAATGTTCTCGTCAAGGTAAGTCGGTATGGTAAAGGCAGCTGTTGCGAGAGTATTTGTACATTTGTACTTTCAAGTACATTTCGCTGTTCCGACTTGTCAATATCATCTCTGCTGCGCGTCAAATGTGTTTGTTGGAAACAGCTGATTTTACTAGGCACCATGTTGGGGAGCTACTTGTAGCGTTCTCCATTACGTAGGTGGCGTGGCCGCGGAACGTCATAGGTTGTTACCTGAAGGGGCGGAGCATCTGGTAACATTTTCCCATCAAGAACGGGGCCCTGGAGAACATCCCGGCGTCCTTGAAGTGTCCAGGATTGGTAATACAAACGGCCACATGCGACCTCGGGACAGACCTGTCGGCCGTTGCACAAGCGAGCCAAGTGGAATTTCTGAGAAACAGCACCTGTAACAATTTTGATGTTCACCGTTTAGACCGCTACGAGCCGACTTTGTTACACAATTGCCAGCATTAGTGAACTGAAAAATGACACTCCGTGCATCTGGTAACCCTAGAACTGGAATTGCACTAAACGACCTTCGGCCTCCCCCGAACCACGCTGGCCACATACGCCCTTGCACCAATCGCACACTCATCTGCGCCTTCGTGCTGAGGCGCATTCGGACGCTCCGTGCAGACGACGCCAGCGGCTGGCTGCGAGAGCACGGGGCACGGAACTGGCCGCTTCCTGCAGCAGTCGCGATGACGGAACACGGCGCTTCGGTGAGGGTAAGTGCTTTTACCAGCCTAGCTTGGCCGTTGCTGTCTCGATCAGTTACGCCGAAGTGATCTAATTACTTTAATTTATTGAATTTACCGGCGATTATTTTCACTTGTTTTCACTGCATGCCAATAAGCATGCTGCTGTCGTTGGGCTTCACGACACGCTCAGCTGCTTACGCTGGCGCTGTCTTTTTCTTACCCTAGCAGGAGGGGCTGAAACCGGGAAGGATCGAACCCTGAACCTCTGGCTTCCAAATACCCAGCACAACCACTACACTTGTGAAACCCACGCTTGCGGGTTGATTGTGTCTGGAAGTTCCTTCCTTAAATGTCAGCCTGGCAGGTTTATGTTTGAGGTTGGCGTTTCCTCATATGAATTAAGATAAAGAGAAGGTTTGACCAAACCGCGCCACACGCGTCATGCACCACATTCATTAAGCAAAGACAGAACACAAGATTTAAAAAGATCACCTAGACACTTCTGCCTGTACGGTGTTGCATATTACCGTGCAGGCGAGTGATACATTTCTGGCACTGAAATAGATGCCACTTTCTAAAGTCGATTGCCGGGGTAGGGGGTGCTAAACCGATTAGGTGAACGTATCTACCGCAAAAACCAGATTTCTCTTCGGAACTGGGCGACCTCAATTTACGTCCCGGATGTCAACCTTGATTTTGAAAGCAAATTCGGTTGAGAACATTGTTTCTGCTATCAAAATTGCCTAGCGGTGAAATACATTCAGATTGCATACACACTGAAGTTTCATGATAAACCTGGTATTGCGCGCCATTCACAGAAAACATTTTTTTAACACTGCCAGATGGTCGTTGAAAATAGGATTCATTTGTCCTTCTTGGAAGGTTGTCCGACGCACTAAAATACAAATTTCTGCGCGACGGCTTTTGGCTGACATGTGCAGAGTAGAGAAAATGTGCACCCTGAAAATGAAAGCCGTATCTTTCTTAAGACCTAAAATCGTCTAGCTTCTGAGCTTCACGTCAGCGCAAATGTGCAGAATATGTTGTGTAGACTTTTGTGAGCCCAGTTAGGCATTATGACGCCCCAGCAACGTCATTTAAATCCTGCCATCCCACAAACCATATGACGTTCAAGGTCAAGAACAATGCTATTGTCAAGCCGGGCAGAGCTGACATTCGTGAGCACGACTTTCAAATATTGTGCGCGTCAGATGACTCGTGTCAATATTGAGCAATCTGTGCAATAAAGCATGCAAAAATCGCGCTTTGTTCTGCTTAATAGAAGAAGTCGGACATTCTTGCTAGTTATTACGGAAAGGAGGCTTGTAATCGGCTAATTTAAGATAGGCGCCGCAGCTGAGCATGTGAAACAAGTAAACGTCTTAAAATCACCGATAAATATGCAAGAACACCATGAAAAAAGTCAAAACGATATTTGGCTTAGCGAATTTTTCGAAAACCGTGCTGCCACACCACGGTGGCTGAAGTACTACAAGTGAGTGCTAGGATGACAGCGTATAATGAAACAATGGTATAGTTAAGCATGCCCGCCTGAAAATACACCACGGACGAGGTGCCATCAATCTAAAATTATTGCATGACACACTACGTGTGGATTGTAGACCACGCGCAGAGGCGAAATCACCGGCGAACCCGATCGGTCAAGTAGATCCGTAAAATTATCCGATCCGATCCGTAGATCCGCAAAATGAGTTGGAAGGAAGGGCTGAACAGCGAAAAATTACTCAAAATGACCCGAAAAACGCCAGCAAGCCGTTCCTTTCCGGTTTGGGCCTCTCTGTCCTCGAATTGTGTGGGGTTAGAACACAAGTTGCGATTGGGGAGGGGGGAGGTGGAGCTGAATGGGCCTCGTGAAACAACGCTTCCGAAAATCATTCCGAATAGATTCGTACCGTTCAAAGGTTAGGCTGGAGCGTACCTCTTTTGCAATTTTAAGGCTGTTCCCCGCGCACATTAATAGCTACAGCAACACATACATACACACACACACACACACACACACACACACACACACACACACACACACACACACACACACACACACACACACACACACACACACACACACACACACACACACACACACACACACACACACACACACCACACACACACACACACACACACACACACACACACACACACACCACACACACACACACACCACACACACACACACACACACACACACACACACACAAAAGATACGACCTATTCTTTTCCATTTTCACCACCAGTTTCCAGCACTATTTTTTTGAAGCTGTAAAGGACTGTTGGCCCTCATTATCAATCCAAAACATACCACAGGTGTATTATGTATATATACACACACACACACACACACACACACACACATATATATATATATATATATATATATATATATATATATATATATATATACCAGATCTATTTCCAGATCAATTGAGATGAAGCGCTACAATGGTGACTGTCCCACAGCTTCAAGAAGAGAGAGGCCCAAATCCGGCAAGGAACCCATTTATTCGTAGTTTTTTTCGGGTAGGCTGAGTCATTGCAAGCTGCTCATCCCTGTCTGTCTGTCTGTCATCCCTGTCTGTCTGTCTGTCATCCCTGTCTGTCTGTCTGTCATCCCTGCCTGTCCATTTCGTAACACTATGCCCCTGTGCTCGGCTGTTTTTGCAGCTTAAAAATGTGCGATAATTTTATGCATTTATTTGACCGGGCACACCTGGTCGTGACTTCCTCCCTAAGTGTGGTTCGTAATCCACCCGTGGTGTGCCAGGCGGTGGCCTTAGATTGCTTGTGCCGTGCTTGTGATGTATTTTCAGGCGGTCATGTTGAACTAAACCAATGGTTCAACATACGCGGTGTGGCAATTTCGCACGGCTCGTTCGGCTGCACCACAACTTCATGCAGACAATTGCGTATTCTGGAGCATATTTACTAAGTAGAGGAAGTGTGCTGTGTAAATCAGTCGTTTCTACTTAAAAACATTACCAACAGTCATAAGTTTTTTATCATATCTGATGCCTGCCTTAACATTTTCAAGCGTGGAGCATTTCTTTGTGATTCGGCGTTTATCCCCGTCGGCCCGCATTCCCTCTTGGCTTTTTGTCCTTCCACTGTTTTCCATTTCCAGTTTTATCACCGTCAACATTTTTTCCATTCAACCATCTACATTCGACTTTTGTATTCAGCTTTTTGTCTGGGAATCATCTTTGTATGCTTCTGCTCGGTACGTGTCAGCGAGAGCTTTCGGCAAAGCTTTTTAGCTGAGTGCATTGTTGCTCCTATTTCTATTCAGCTATTGCAGCTTTGGTGTGCCACAATTATCTGGCCGATCTGCAGTTTCACGACATTCTTCGCCTCATAGTGCGTAATGTTTGGATCCACCTATCGAGACTCGAACCCACATCTCTGGGATGCCGATCCAGTATGCTTTCTAGATCGGCGGTCCAGAGATCCGAATTCGGGTCCCGTTGGGTGGCCGCACATTTTCCGCACTATCTGGCGCAGAATATCACCAAGCTGCCGAGCGGTTGGAGAAATATGTCCCTCCAAAGCTGCGGAGCGCGTGGAGAATGCTGGTCGCCCGCAGGGACGACAGGGACGACGACGGAGGGAGTAGCTGAATAAAAGCACACCTTTAAATAAAAACACACCTTTCGGCTTAGCCATCAGTGTTTGGAAGCTTTGGCACATTACAATATGTTGGGTATCATGAGTTGAGAGTCAGAATAGCTGGAATGCTCGCAATGTTCGTGCATTTTTCTCGCATTGTGATGCTCGCGATAAATGATTTTCTCAATCTTAGAAAGGCACATACTGCAAATTGGACATATTTTATTAAACTCGCCGCGTGTTGCAGTCAATCCTATCTCCCAATGTCCATATTAGTTCATGATAACCCACGAGCATTTCCAGACTGACCTAACATAGAACGGAATCGACATGGCACAAGTCATCAAATACCTACAGCCTACTATGTAATACACAATAATCATGGAAAAACACCCAGCGATGTCTTCAGGTACCTAGTGCAGCAGCCGTTCAAGGGTATTTTGTACGTTTCCTTGCCCAAGTTTTCACGAGGGAGGTGCGCTGGTAACACCGTTTTGCCACTGGCGACAGTGGTAACGCAGCTCCAAAGGAGGCGCTGTGTTACAGGAGGTAGCACAGCTCCACGGGAGGAGCTGTGTCACCACTGGGGAGGCTAGGGACCCCGAAGGCGTATAAAGTGACGCCCCTGAATGGTGGTGAGTGATCTGGTTGCTCCGCCAACAGATGAGCTCCGCCTGTCCAGCCGGGCTTCTGTTCGGCTTCTCTCTCCTGCTGGTCCTGCTCTGTCCGGCCTCGGCCGGTCCGTGGATCGACCTCAGCCACACATACGACAAGACCACACAGTACTGGCCGGGCAACCTCAAGTTCAACCTGAGCACAGTGTTCAAGGGCCAGATGGAAGGCTTCTGGTGAGTGAATCGTGCTCAAGTTCGCGCAGCCGTTATCGGGTGGCGGCTGTTTCCATGATCATTGTCACATGTCTTTGATTGAACTGCGCATGATTTAAATCGATTCTTACTCGAAACGATCGGCACCTGGAATCACGATTCAAGAGTTGATTAGTTATTAGAAACTAGCTAGAAGTTATACCGTTACATACGAAATTAGTCAATTTGATGGACTGCAGTTTTCTGTGAAAGCCTTAGTTGTTCCTCTTCCTGATATGGCTCTTAAACATTTCTTTTTGGGGTCTTTTCCCTATATTTTATTTGTATTGTTAAGGTTCTAGCAGACCTTTGTTTTCTTAGGCGCTTAGAAATGGGATTACATGCACAGCGCTGTGGCTACCCGCAAGTTAAATGAACTGATATGCGTAGTGCCGGCAATTCATGTCAGTTTCCATTGATTGAAAGAGATGCTGTGGGTGTTGTTTCCGCTCATGACTATCGGTCCTTGAACATATTCCGTATGAAACTTCATCGGTGCTGATGACCTGAAACTGTCTCAATACTAATCCTAGTTGATTTGGTCTTTGATTTTGATAGGCTATCCAGAATCAAATATTATTTAAATCTCAGTCACGTGAATTTCAAGACAGTGGAGCAAACCTCAATTCATCCGAGTTTCAATCGACTCTGTGTCCATTCTGAAGACGAATCGAATCTAGGGAATGTCTGGAAATCTGTCCTCTGTTCTTTGTCAGTTCTTTTTTGGGCCGGAGTGGGAGGTGGAAGTGATGCGGCATCGATCACTGCTCAGTTGGACGGACAATTTTGCGTGTTTGCTCTAAGCAACAGCAGAACATGGAATGGACAGAGCCTGCCAAGATTTTGTGGGGTTCGGAACGCCAATACCTTCGACCCTGAACATGATACCTACGGGCGCCGTTAAGAAATAGCTGACTCTGGATCAGGATACGCCCGCTTATTCCTTGTCTGGCGGCTGCATTCGTCGTCTCAGGTACAAGTTGGCGAATAACGCATTAAACGCTGCGACTGTCCACAGCCCAGTGCAAACCTGCTAGTGAAGGTATGTTCGTCCAACAACTTTCTACCCTTAGATCATTTCATGCCGTTGAACAACCCAGCCGCTGTCACTTACCTGCTGTCCACTCTGCCATGGCGAGACAGCCAAAGGTTTCAATAGGCGATCGGTGCAAATAACGGCAAATGTAGTACAATGATTTGTCGTCAAAATATTGTTCACAAGATTTGTAAATGTAGCAAATTAAGTGAAATTGTCGTCAAAATGTGGGAATTTTCACACGAATGGAAATTTGCGAGTTAATATTCCGCTTGTCGAGACTCCGTGTCTCGATTTTTGTCGTCTATTTAGCAAGCTGCGATATGCCGTGCCAGTTTCGACACTTGGCATGTTTATATTTTGGCCTCTCATTATTAGCACTGGCTATGCAGAGTTATTGAAACCATCAAGAGTTCGCATTTGTGCCCGAGCATGGGACGTGGCATATGCGGTGCGGCGCAACGCCACAGCACCCACAATGCTTCAACAACCATTAAAGCCGATCTCATCAACTGGCCCTGCCTTGTGGACACGGACCAAATTCTCTCAAAAGTAAGTTAAGCCGCTGCAGAATCCAGCAACGAAATGCACTTACATAAAATGAATTGAATGAATGCACAAAATGAGGGCCGGCCTGCGATGCGATGTCCTCATTTGGTATAAAGACTCAACAGGCCGTCTTTTCAAAAGCGTAAGTTCATAGCTCGACTCACCTGCTCCGCAGCAGGCGCCAAACAGCCAATGACAGTTCTTCAACACAAGTCCTGAGCGTCCGGCAATGCCTCCTCCGCGTGTGTGAGGTGTGGCGCCTCGTACACGTGTGTAAAGTGTGACGCCTCCTCAACGTGTGTGAAATATGACACCTCTTCCAAGTGTGTGAAGTGTGACACCTCCTGCACGTGTGCGAAGTGCGGCACCTTCTTCACGTGTATCAAGTGTGGCGCCTCTTCCACCTGCGCAAAGTGTGGCGCCTCTTCCACGTGTGTAAAGTATGGCACCTTCCCCACGTGTGTGAAGTGTGGCGCCTCCTCCACGTGTGAAGTGTGAGGGGCGGTGTTATTGCCCAGCCCGGAAAGCATTGGCCTGTCCCGCCGAAGACGTGAGGTCCGCACCCGTGCTAAGCCGTGTCCGCGGTGGGCTGACGCTGCCACTGCCACAGCCGCTGTAACCACGTCCAGCCGCGCACGCCCTGAACCAAACCGGATCGTCCACGTGCCGTTCCCTGCCGCCCTCGGCAGGCTCGAGGCGCACAACTTCGAGACCGCGGAGCATGGCGGCACCCACATGGACGCGCCCGTGCATATCTTCAGGGGCGGCTGGACTCTGGAGCAGATTCCTGTCGATCGGTTTGTGGCGCACGGTAAGGATATAAGCGTCATGTGCTCACTCTGGACGCTTTTACGAAGGCGTATCGCCCAGTGCATTTTTTCATGAACTCAAATACTTTAACTCGCCCGGCTGCGTAGCAGCTGGCTTAAACCATGCCGTTTGCTACAACTAGCTTTTCTGCATGATACCGCTGCACGTAGAAATGAAAACTGGAAGGTCCCTTAAGTCATAGATCGTCCTACACAGTTTACTTTATCTTTGAACACGTTTGCAGCATATCATACAATGCAATCGCACACCAGGGTTAACTGTAGTCGGCCAGGTCGAGCTCTCACCCCATGTCCACCCTACCGGAGTCGGCAGGCAGGAGCCCCCTAGGAAAATATACGTGTGCTGGATGGCTACCACATCAAAAGGCATGTGACCCACAGTGACGACCATGTGATTCTAAACCGCACTTACGCTGAACTTTGCACTCCCTGGTTCAAGTGCAACACCGTTCTCGGCAACGCGTGATGCAAACTTGCGCTCATCCCGTCATTCTCACTTCCCTTTTTAGCAGTCATATCCGCATGCTTGTTGGGAGCACCTGTGCCATTCCAATAAGTGCACTGTACCCACCAGAGCATTGCATTTAAATTCCGGCTCAAACAAGCCCTTGTGGTCACTCTTAAAATCTTACGGATGACATGTTGCAGAACCTCCCTTTGGCTCAATTCGTGCATTTCTTCTCCAAGCGTTCGCTCTTTACAGTGAAATGATCACGCAAGATGTGGAGTAAATGGCGGTTTCAAAAACGCCCACCTTTAAGTGATACTCGAGTTAGCGTAGCATGTAAGGCGGCGGAACACCTGCCAGCATGGATCAAGAACCAAACAGTAAAGCTATGTTGTCTGGATTTCCGAAGTTGGAATTTTCCGCATCTAGAATCCCATCTTTCATCATGCTCTAGATGCATAAAAATGTAACGCCGATTCATTTAGCATGCTGATCTGTATTGACTGGTACCGATCTGGCCTATTTGATGGCTCTTTGATGGCCCCTCTCCAAATCGTCGCCGCCGTCCCCGCGCGACTGCCGCTTCTAGCACGCCTCGTGTGAGGTTCAGTCATCTCGTCCAGCGGAAGCGCTGTGGGTAAGCCTGCAGTGCTTTGTCATTCTTTGGCGGTGTTTTGACATCAACGTTAGTTCACAGTTGCTTGAACCTTGCGCGTACTATCACGGATAAACTGGAGTTGAGTGATGTCAGTGATGCCATGATAGAGATCGCCGAAAACGCACAGTGTGTTGAAGGCGCTAATCACCTCGATCGCCTGAAGCTGATGTGCTTCAATTTATTTACTTCAGTAGGCAAAGTCGAAAGCATGTTTGTGGTTCCCATGTTTTGCGACTGTTTGTGTTGTTTTTTTGGCCTGTTCTGTGTTGGGACTGTTGGTTGTCTGTGTGGACGGTCCTATCACACATTTGGCTCAGACAGGACTGGGACCCCGTTAAAGTCACGGGGAAAGAACAGAGTTCACGGAACTCGTGGGTGGATGGGTGGACGATGGCGTCGTTGCCACTTGTCTTACTCTTCCGCCTCTCTTTTGTCTTGAGTTGCAGTGACCCCGCAACGTGGCAGGCTGGGATAGGCTCTGCCATGTGCTTGACTGTCATGTAGTTAGTATAAGGCGCAAGCGCCTCTGAAGCGCTCTGTCTCACTCTGGCGCTACGATTCCAGCGGCTCTGGTCAACATCTCCGCCCGGAGTGATGCTGACCCTGACACGACCTTGACCCCGGCCGACCTGATCGCCTGGAAGGAGGCGCACGGCAACTGGCGCTACCCCACCATCCTGCTGGTGTACACGGGCTACGCTGACCACTGGGGCAACATCACGCGCTACTGGGGTGTCACGCCCGAGGACTTCAAGGCGAAGAAAGCAGTGAATGGACATGATTTGCACTTCCCTGGTCAGTGTGGAGGCAGGACGGGAGGACGGCGGGCGGGGGGGGGGGGGGGGGCTAGCCGCCTTAAGAAGCCCTGATCGCAGCTGGAAGCTCTCGTGTAAATCCCTAACCCCGATACATACGGTACGTAAAAGTATGGGAAAAGCGAAACCGTACTTACCCTTAAGTTGTCTGTTTGCTCGTACTCACGGGTGTAACGTCAGTGGGTATCCGTACGGCGTAAGCTCAGGTTTTGAGCATGCCCGTGTCTCGGATGTGACGTCAGTGGGTACCCGCAGACTTTAGCTTAGGTCGTAAGCATGTCCGTGTCTCGGATATGACGTCAGCACGCCGTTGTCCGTTAGCATGGCATCGTTCCAGATTTGATTGCATATATGATGTATGCCCTCGTCTGCAGACCAAAGGTCAGCTAAACACGTGTCTAAATACTCAGGACATTACACTCGTGTCCGATTTAATAACGCCAGTACGCCCGCACGTGCAGATGTCATGATATTATACCCATATCTGGGCACGAGGCACTATTTCAGCCGCACCCAAAGCCATGACACCTGCATATACTTGTCCAGGGACATGATACCAGCATACTTATGTAGGACCAATGATCTGGACGTTATGATACCCGCGTCCGCGCATGTTACATCACCATCTCCCGAGTGTAGACATGGCACTGAGGAGCCATCTTGCGAATATGTGGGGCAGCCGTGTCTGCAGACATGGCAAGCCGCTGTGTCTGCAGACATGACAAGCTACATGTCATGAAGTCTGCGAGCGTGGAGTCGGTGTCTGTAGACATACCGTCGGCGCATACCAACACGGCGCTCCGTATCGGAGGACACGGTGTCAGTGTCAGTGCACACATGACGTCAGTGGTGTTGCGCTCATGACGTCACTGTCAGTGGGCACATGACATTAGTACCAGCACACATGAAGAGGCGACATGAAATGATGGCATTGACTGTGCAAACATGGCGTCAATGTCAATTGGCGCGTGAAATCAATGCCAGTGTGTATATAATATCAGTGACAACCCACGCCTACCATAAGTGCCAGTGCGCACATGACGTCACTGATAGTGCGCGCGTGACGTCACTACTGGCGCCGGACAGGTATCGGCGCGGCGGCGGCTGAGATGATCGCCGCCGATGGAGCCATCGTCGGCGTCGGCATCGACACGCCCTCACTGGACCCGGGCACCAGCAAGGTTTTCCCCGCCCACCAGGCGTTGTTCCGGAGCAACATCTTCGGCCTGGAGCACGTGGGAGACATGAGCCGGGTGCCGGCCACCGGCGCCACGTGAGCACGGAGACGCTGCCCGCGGTCTGCAGCCGCTGCCATGCCGCAGTATGCTGGGGCTAAGCGTTTGGTATTGACAGCTTTGGATCATGGCCGAAGTTGTTTTTTGTACGGGCTTTCACCTGTCAGTCATATTATATAGACAAAATTAAAAAGGCGTTTAACTATACCTAGCTGCATCACAGTAAACTCATTTCTTCTTCGGGATATACGTACTGAAATTTTTGGTTTTTTGGAGGACGGTTTTGGCTCAACCGTCCTCACCGGTTGTTGGCCGAATGAGCAGCTGCGTTGTCCATCTCTTATCAAGACAGCTCATCGTTTTTGGTAGGTCTCTTCCACGCAACGCCCGTGGTAAATGCCGGAACGTTGAGGTGGAGGAGGGACGCTTAATCCCGCCGCCCCCCCCCCCGCAAATGCGGTTCCAGGACAATGAGGTCAAATGGTAAAAAGCCAAACGGAATAAAATTCATCGGTAAGATGTCAAACAAGTGGAAAGGGCAACACCCCCAAAAAATAAAGGTCAAATGCAAGGAATTAAACGGACAAAAAGAGGTCAAAAGTGATACAGCTAAAAACGCGCGATCAAAGGGTCAAAATATAAAAGGTTAAATACTAAAAGTCAGAAAAATAGAAAGCGCCAAAAAGGTGCAAAAGGCTTTCAATCAAACCACAACTTTCCCGCCCAGAAATCGTTGCTTTTGTAGGGCTTACGAACGCACTGAGGGTCCTTGATCACTTGCTCTTCCAGGGGGGCGGGGGCAAGGGCCGCGCCCCCCCCCCCCACCCCCACCGCCTCAGCTTAGCCAGTAGAGCCCTAGTCAGCTGGCAGCGGCTTCATGACCGCGGCGGAAACGCAGAGGTATCCTGGATCTAGATCGGATACGCCCTCCGTGTGATGGTAAATGTCTTAGCGCAAGACGACTTTTTTGCCACATAATGCCTTCTTACGTATATGCTCTAGGCCTCTTTGATCATAGAACATCATGGTCCTTGGTGTCGATTTCTCAAACCGGTTGGTGGGGTGGGGGGGGGGAAGGGGAATTGTGCAAGTCGCCATAAGGACAGGAACGAAAAACTTCTCGGATTATTTCCCCGGATGTTCTGGTGTGGTTTATAGATATATATATAGTATATATTATATATATATATATATATATATATATATATATATATATATATATATTATATATCTCTCTCTCTCGTATCTCTCATCTCATCTCTCCTCCTCTCTCTCGTCTCCTCTCTCTCTCC